ACTCCGGTACAGGGAATCGAACCCTGGGCTCCGCGGTACTGATCTCTTGACTGATGTTGAGAGCGCGAAATGTTAGCCACTACACCATACCGGATGCGACTTGTTGAGAGTCGGGGCAGTAACGTCGCGTCAAACTCATCGTCGTGTTGTGCGGGCAGTAGACACTTCCATTGAGAGCGATTGATGCATGTTTCCCTTCTGTACTTGGATGTAGTCTGTACATAATCAGAGAGTAGCGAGATAGCTTCAGGATCTTGGATACAGCATATCAGGCATAGTTACTAGAGGCGATTGAGGAAACGCCCATGTTGCCATTGGATGAAGGTCTAATGAAGAGAACAAGTGACTGCGTAGTGTACATAAGGAGAGGACGTAGGGGGACCGGGTTGGTTGTATAAAGGAGGGAAGGGAAGACTAACGTGCCTTACACAGCAGCCTTTTATGCGAGTGAGTCACAGCTGTGTTGGCAATAGTTGGAGTTTAATTGCTGTAGGCAACTTCTTCTGTGACGAGCCCAATAAGATTTGACCTGTCTATGGAGGTTAACTTTACTGTTAACCATATTGAGGCGAGACCCAGAAAAATAAATGCAAATGAAGAGAGTGTTGTTTGCCTGCTGTTAAATGTGACCTCTTTCTTATCGAGTTGAAGAAATGTATTCTACTGTAGTTTACAGAGAAGCAGTTGTGGAAGCTTGAGCATTCGGTTCTTCTACCGATCACCAGGTGATTAGCTGAGCTATACATCGTCACTGCCTAACATGTCCGACTATTCAACTATCTATGAGAGAACAAGGTCTTTGCTGGAGCGCATTCTGTTTATTGGTATACTTAACTCGAAGCGCATACTTGAGAAGTGAGTAATGAGAATGCAACTCTTTTAAACTATGCAGACATATAGTGAGACTTAGACTAGAGTATCAGAGCCAGATGACTGATATGGTTTGCTATCAAGCGCAAGACAGGTAGTTCTCTGTTTGTATCATATGTTTATTGTCGTTATCCTTTAAGGTGCAGAGAAACACATGGCATCAAGACGGCACATCTAAAGTGATTGCATGCACGTGGTAGATCTACTGTGGGGCTCATCTCGGCACAGCTGGCCGTGGAAATAAGGAGGTCGGGGTGGGGCTGTGCCACCTCACCGGGATCGTGATCATAACAAACAGGGATATCAAGTCAACGCAAAAAATTACAAAAAAATTGGTAGCTTCTCTTTGATTGAGCGTGTCTAGGAGAACTGGTTAGAATATGAAGATATAGAGGCAACTGTCACTGTAACTCACCATCCTTAGTGCAGGGGCCATGCTAATCTTCTGAAACGGGAGTCAGTATGTTGTCGAGTTGTGCAGAATCTGGGGTTTCGAACCTCTGTATCGTTTCAATACTTTTCCAATGTTAGCTTGTATCATTCAAACTTTAGCCATTCGACCACTTACGACCAATGTGCCGCGAGTTGCCCCGCGGCGAAAGAGTCAGAATCATTACAGCTTATATACCCTTCTCCGCCACCCATCCACTTCCACATACCACAACGCTTTTAACCTGCCCACACAATAGTAGGCTGCTCAAATTGTTCTTACCATTATTCTTTGAGCATAGACCTATCTCCAAAGGCCCTTCCAGTTGAAATTGTATGGATGACTCACGTTATGAAGCAGTACCACCATATCGCATGCAATACACAAGCTCAACAACTCAACATGTGCACCAGACGTCAGAAACACTGCAACTGATGGGATTTGGAGTTTTTACAAGTCTGGAATCAATCTCTTTGTGGCAAAAGAAAGGAATAGTATACAAAATTGTGTGCCATTCATAAGGGTGGTGGGGCTGAACTTAAAACCTCTCATGGAACAATGAGTCGTTATCTAGGTTAGCTCACCTTGCGAGATTTTGATAGAACAAATCGGGATACAAGGAGAGTTGTGGTCAATAAGATGCCACAAGCAGAGATATACCATACTCAGACAATAACAACGCAACAGAAAAAAAACGACACGTGCTCCATTTCAAACTATATCACTTCAAAACTCAGTCAATCTCAGATGAAGATTTGGCTTCAATTCACTACAACTCTCTACCCTGAAGTTGAGGGGGAACTGTGTAGCTACCAGACATAGCTCCGACAGTTGAATAAAACCCTACACGCTCGTAAGCAACTGCTGAAAAGCTGTACTGGGGGCGACGGAAACAAGTGGATAGATAACTCTCAGACTCCATTTGCAGGCTAGTCATCACCCTCTTCAAAGGTTCCTGATTCAGTTTCTCCCGTGCCGCCAGATACTGGAACACATTCGGGTTGGATAGCCGAAAAGCCCATCCCACCCATCATGCCTGCAATGACTGTCGATAAGTACCCTGTACGGATACAATGTTAAAATCACGGCACATAACACAGGTAGTTGTTGTTGAGTGCAAAAAGCAAAAGATTGTCGGTGGAGAGGCTCGAACTCTCGACCTTTGGATGACCCTGGTGTTTGACCAGGTCAATCTGATTTCAGATATGAGACCAACGCTCTAACCAACTGAGCCACACCGACGTTGAGAAAAATTGATCTTTTTACCATTCATGTAGGGAGCTTCGGTTAGATCATCTCGCTCTTCTCAGTTCGCGCATCGTCATTCGCTCTCGCTTCGCTCTTTGATCTTCTTACGGCAATGCTGCGCCTCACGCGTCCACGCACGACACATCCATTAAATCTAGGCGGCCGCGTTTTACTTCGCCTGGAGGCGTTGATAATTTGGCCTTTGGTTGGACAAGATTGCGTAGGCTATGTTTTGTAAGAGAATGCGAGGTATGGTAAATGCGAAGATGTTGACATATAAGAATCTGGGTGAGCCTGGGTGGAGACATTGATTGATCAGAACATCACATCACTTCCTCAAGCATTGTCACAATTTTTCTGTCTCTATATATCTATTCCTATTCTATACAGATCCTTTGATACCCATATTAATCATGACTGTCTATTCCACCTCCAACAAGTCCATCGAGGACATTGATCCTCTCAAGCAAGCCGGCCAACTTCCCCTTTACAACGTCCAGCCCGTTAACGCAGAATACTACCACACTCAACCCCAAGTTCAAGATGATGTACCTACCAAAAAACCAACTGCGGGTGAGCGTTTCCACAAGATCAGCTCCAAGGCTGGATCGCCGCTCAACAAAGCTGCAAACTTGATTGGAGCTGAAGGATGGTGGCCTACGACTATGGACAAGGAGTGCAGCAAGGCTGCTCGCATCCTTCACTCCTTTACCAGTAAGTAATGCCATGTGAATGAGCGGACCATGAGGTACTGACCAATTTCCAGACCTTAGCTCCTCTACGTCTCTCAAGAGCAAAGGGCCTCTCCATCCAACTGGCCTTACTCGCAAGTCCATGGTCAAGATCCCTCCTTCTGTTCTTCATAGCGCGGCCGGTCTCGCTATCTTCAACGTCATCCGTGCCGGAACTGGCCATGGATCTCTCTCCGGTGGCTCTGGTGTCGTTATCGCCCGCCGCTCAGACGGAACATGGTCTCCTCCCTCTTCGTTTATCGTAAGCACACTCGGTGCAGGTTTCGTTTTTGGTCTCGACGTGTACGATTGTGTCTGCGTCCTCAACACCCCTGAACAAGTCGCTGCCTTCACCAAGCCTCGCCTCTCTTTCGGCGCAGAAGGCTCTGTTGCTGTTGGTCCTGTTGGAACAGGCGGCAGCGTTGAAGCTGCCTTCAGCAAGACCGCGCGCCCAGTGTGGAGTTACATGAAGAGCCGTGGTTTGTGGATAGGTCTTCAGATCGACGGCACTATTGCTGTTGCTCGAAGAGATGCTAATGCTACGTTTTATCAAGAGCGCGGCATCACAGCGGAGAGAATTCTACTCGGTGATGTTGCTTGGCCCATGGGTGCTAAGCCTCTCTTTGAGGTGCTTCAAGCACTCGAAGGGCGAACTGCCTACGACCGCAGTGTCGTGGATGCAGTCGGTGAAGCCCCTACACCTGGTGATTCTATTCTGTCTGACAAAGAGAGGTATACTGATGAGCCTGAAGAGTCTGAAATTGTTGAATCTGAAAAGCATGCCGAGTCCACCGATATATCTCGGGAGCCTCCAATGCTGATGGTCACCTCTCCTACCACTATTGATGCTAGAGAGGAGCTTCCTGGTTATGAGGTCGTGGATAAGAATGATGAGCAGGAGAAGATTGTTGACGAGAAGGCCAAGCTCGCTGCATCTGGATACTAAGGGTATAGACTTTGTCGTTCATTATCTCGGGAGTGAGGAGTTGGGATTGTATAGGGATATCTCAGATTGTGCTTTAGTTGCCTTGTTAGTATTATAATGATATGTCTTGTAACCACTTGAGTATTCTTTGGGCTTCTATATGCCATCGTACATTCTTTCAAGCCATGGCGAGGGATGTAGTAAATTATCACTGGTCGGGGAGCCATTCACTCGGGCAGTGCCCGCAAGTGCACAACAGCTGGCATCCATTCGGAACCTAAGGCATGAAGGTGCAGCTGAGCGCGTGCCGGTCATCTCACCAACGCGCCCCTTTTTTCCTTCCTCAAGCAGATTCATTTCCAACCAACGCATCGAGAAACTGCAACCAACAACTTTTCTTTTTATTCTGTACAAAATCAGTCCTCCAGCAATGGGGTTTCCCGACTCCGACGGGAGTGATGCGTCCTTGAAAATGTTCCACTGGAACGTAGAAGTCGACGAAGATGAATTCCTCCAATTCAAGCGTGAGGACCTCTATATCACCTTAAAAATGATGCAAATGCTAAGAATCAACGCTTCTCATAGGTCCCCTTCCTCAACCAATGTGTAAGCCCACTTCCTCACGTCTCGGCCAAGTCGAAGCTGATTTAAGCATAGTGAAGAGAGAGCGAGAGGAGGAGGAGGAGGTCGCTCCTTCTCTTGAGTCCGAGGGGAGTGAAGCCTCCTTGAAAATGTTCCACTGGAACGCGGAATTCGACGACGACGAATGGCTCGACTTCGAGCGTGAGTACCTCTGTTACTTAGACCCTAGAAGGGTGATGCAAATGCTAAGAATTGATGCTTCTCATAGGTCCTCCCCCTCTACCAACGTGTAAGCCCACTCCATTGCTGTTCAGCTAGGCCGAGGCTGACTTAAGATCTAGGGAAGAGAGAGCGAGAAGAGGAGGAGGAGGTCTCTCCTTCTGTCGAGACCTGGCAGGCGCCTGCTCCAACTCCAGCTCCAGCTCCTGCTGCCGCCGACCCAGTAAGATAACATATTCGATTTCTTAACAACCTCTGCCCTTGCCCGAATATATGCAATACTTCCACGTTTCCTTTCATCCCTCATTCAATGACAAGATATCCATGAGTTTTGTTTCACAAAGCTTAAGATAAACCCAACTAATATTTCCATAGCTGCCGCGAACTTAGGAACAGCGCATTGCTGCGGCTCAGGCAACAGTTGACAAGAAATTGAAATTGCTGCAGACTATGGCAGAAATGCCCGAATCCGAACCTGAGAAGAGCTCGAGCCTCAGCTCCAGCTACAGTCTCTGGGATGTTAAGCTGGCGCCGACAACTACAACTGTGAGTTTAGACCATTTCTTAGGCTCATTATTTCTGCCGCCCTAAACTTCGGAGGAGTTTAGACGATCCCGATCGCTCATGCATCTGATGACGTCAGTTACCTAAAGCAGGCACGCGACGTGCAACCATAGGTACCTTGCATAGCAATCATCTATTTGTCTCTTTTTCATCTTCATCTTTACTTGTAATATTTCTAATCTAATATTCTTTTTGTTAGGTCGTTACAATATCGTCGTGTCGTCGTGCCGCTATGCCTCTCCTCCCAAGAATCAACTCAGATGCTGCGAGGCCTGAGTCCAAGAGAGCAACGCTCAAGGCCTTCTTGCGAAAATGGTTAAAGGTGAACTACCAAGACCTGCTATGTATGGCTTTCGTTGGCGCGCTTGCCTATGGTGTACGTACAAAACTAATTCATCTTTGCTTCTACCGCTGACAACTCCAAGATCTACCATTCTCCGGTCATCATCACACGAACGTTCCCGGTTACCTTCGATGCGACGTCCGGCGATATCGTCTACCCCCAGTGGGCGTACCCTGACCGCGGCTGGATCCTTCCCGCGTGGCTCTCCGGACTCATCTCTATCGCGCTACCAATTATCACCTACATTGTCGCTCAGATTCAGATCAAGTCGGTATGGGATGCCAGCAATGCTATAATCGGAACAGTGTGGTCCGTCACTTTGGCCTCGCTCTTTCAGGTCACACTGAAACAGCTCGTTGGTGGTTTCAGACCCTATTTTCTCGACGTCTGCATGCCCGACATTTCGCTCGCAAAGTCGCACAATAAAACTGGCTTGAATGGAGTGGGCTTCTACCAGATCATGTACACCACCGAGATCTGCACGCAGCCTGATCAGTCTAGGATACAAAACGCTATTACTTCGTTTCCAAGCGGACACACGACTGCCGCATTTGCCGGGTTTGGATTCCTCTTCTTGTGGCTCAATGCCAAGCTCAAGGTCTGGGCAGACCACAAACCAGCCTTTTGGAAACTTTCTCTCACTTTCGTTCCTTTGCTCGCGGCAGTTCTCATCGCTGGCTCACTCACCATCGACGCTGCACACAACTGGTACGATATCTTGGGTGGAGGTTTTATCGGCACAATCATGGCATTCGCGAGCTACCGATCTACGTACGCTTCAGTCTGGGACTGGCGTTTCAACCATCTCCCGCTTCAAGAAACAGAGTCTTTCCGATATGGCTTTGACGGTGACTTGGACTATGCGGCACAGACAATATCCATGGCTGCTGGATGGGGAGGCAGAAAAGTTAGGTTGCCTGAAAGCTCGAGCGCCCCTGCTATCAGTACTGAGTCTACCCTTCGAAGTGGCGCTGAAGAGATAGAGAACTTGGATGCGAACACTAGGAGGAAGCGAAGGGGTCCTGTTGGTGAGGAGGCTGTTTAGGTCTGCATCTCGGAGTTTGCACATAGGGCGGTGGGTGTCAAGTGTCTGGATCAACTTTAGGTTCAGACTTCACTAATCATACAACTAACGGTAATACAAACAACAACAATAAACCTCGTATAAACCATTAGCAGTAGAATAAACTGATGCCATTGTATAGAGTTTACCGTTACTTGTTATATGAAATGTGGCAAGAACTCTTGTCGCTGCTTCCTGATCGAGTGACCCATGATCGGAGTGGGTTAGGGATGATTACCTACCTACCTAGGTAGAAGGGAAGGAAGCATGAGCAGAAGAACAGAGAATACGGAGATAAATAAAGGGGAAAAAAGGAATAAAAAGATAAAAGATATAAAGAAGCACATAAAAAGTCAAGACGTAGGGGGAAATAGCAAAAAATCTTGAGCATCTCCTTTTCGAATTGTCATCCTTAGTACAGGGGCAATGCTGATCTTCTCTGTAATGTTACTGATTTGACTAGTCCCTAGGGACAACCAGATCGAATTTATTTTGAATTATATACCATTCCCTGTCCCACGTCTCCAGGCAGCAAGTGATCCCATCAGAGTTTTGCCTTAGGTTCCATTGCTTACATTTGAGATACACCCCTTACCGCAACACTCCCCAAGCCCACTTCTTTTCAGTATACCACTTACACTTTGACTTTGGATCAAACGAATCTTGCTTGTTTCCCACAAGCTCAAAGGCGATATTTGTGTCCTATTGCTGCTTGAGCAGTGAATCACAGCAGCTGATGCCGTGGAGTTGAAAGTCAACTTCCAATGTATACCTATATCAGTTTTGCAAACCTGCATGATCTCCTCATTCTAAGACGGTCACATGCGACAACAGACACTGATTTTCCAATGTACCACTCACTACATGGATTGCTGCTTGTCGCCAATGTATGGAAACGCAGTTAATCCAGCATCATGAGCAATCACATTGTTGGTGGTAGGAGGGTCGATTGCTCCGTCGTAACCACAACACAAATATCACGACAGCAATTCAATTGAGAGGCGGAAATTGGGTTATCTTGCTGATAACATCAAATAATAGACAACCCACTGCTTGTTCTCAGAAACACAAGCGAGGTGTGATCTATCTGGTTTGGTTGACTAGTTCAAGAGAAACGCTGACATGTTTATCATGGAAGATTTTGGCGATGTTTGCTCTACGGTAGTTATAGGTTGATTGCGGAAGTTGAGTGTTTGATGGCATGCAGTTATATGGCATGGTCTCAATACTCACCAATATCTTATCTCGTCTTTTGCTATTAGAAGATAATCATGGTGAAAAAAATCTGGTTGTTCGGATGGAGTTTGGCAACCACGAGCTCAACAGAGAAAAGGCTCACTATTTGGTGACAGTCAGGAATTTATGCAGAGTTAATAATTGTATAAGTACTAAGGCATGTACTTTGCTCTCTATTTTCCTGATGAGCGTCCCCATTACTCTCGATGCATATATATACTACCAAGTTACCTCCTGAGGTAGGTAGGTAACAGACGGATTATCCTCTAAGGCTTAGGCTATCAAAATAAAGTAGCCTAAATTCTTCTCTAGATTGCCATAAGATGGTTACGTCTTTCATCTCTTATGTATGGTGGCCAATTCTCTCCACACCCTGCGGCCTCTGCAGCAGACTGGCCATCGTCTACCGGTGCTTGGCAGTGCTTCATAGTTTCTCTCTCTTTAAAGTACCTATATGAAACCCCAACCCTCGATGTCCTTCTCTTCTCTTCTTCTCTTCTCTTCTTCTCTTCTCTTCCTCATCCACAATTCCAGTACCGAAACGCAGCCCGCGATGGCCCCAAATCCGCCACGCATTGTCCAAAGGGCATTCCGAGTTGTCAAAAAGGTTGAGCCAGATGATGTCAAGAGACTGAACCGTACCATTAGTTTTGGGTTCATGGTGCTTGAGGTTGGGGCCTTTGGGTTGATCCCTTATATACAGCAAAACCGCGATACCAATGGCGGCCTCGTTCAATATCCAGTGGTGGGGGTCTACCATCACACAAAGCGCGGTCCGGAGCCACTACCAATACCTCCTCTTGCCCATGGAAATGCTCTATTCCTTTATCTCATATTGAGATTGGAGCAGTTCACACAAACGATCTCAAAATTGCGAATGAGGTAGTTGCAGCGCCTTTGCCTCCGGAACTACGGACTGATGGTACTTTGTTCGATACCAACACTTGGATACAAACCACGATTCCTGCGACGAAGGACGAGAAAGGGATCGCGGAGAAAGAGATGTGGTCTTTCAGGACTACTACTATGCGGTTGGCCGATAGTGGAAGGGTCTTTCTCTTTGCAGGTCGGCCGAACTCTCGCCCCTCAGCACTTCAACTTCAGATACCGACGGATGGCAATTGCCTCAAGCCAGATTCGATTGTGAACATTGTCATGGAGATAATGTGTGACGAGAACGAGCATAAGGAGAGGAAGAAGATGGAAGGAAGAGAAGGAGGCTGCCATCGCCGCCACAACTCATGTACGCATACGCTTGTCTCCTTGACTTCTTGTTTGCCTTCATACTGACGAACTTTTATGGCGTTAGGGCAACGGAGATAAAAACGCACGGTTGAGCTTTTAAAAGAATGCTCTCTCCTTTAACTTGTTTTACGTTGAAATCCGTTCTTCTAATGCAATGCTGAGGTATGAATATATAGACATTGGGGAAGAATACTGCATATGATCAGACCTTTGCCCCCGAGATGGGATCTTCACATTTTTTGTTCAATTGCTTATACCTAGAATGATGTATTACTTGAAACATTTATTCCGCAGCCAATTATTCAACACTTGAGTAAAAACATTATTCTATAAACTTTTATTATGGTATATCTAACTCCATCATCATGAAGCAAATCTAAGAAACACCGTACCAACGCCATGCTTCCATACTATACATAAATCATCAACATCACTTCTTCAACATACCAGGCCCTTTTATTCTACTCGCTCGACTGCGGACCCGAGAGTCATACTTGAGTGTGTCGTCACCAATCATCCCGTTCTTGTTTGCGGTTGAACCCGGAACACATGGTTCATCGTTCCATGCCACACCTCTAGCACGTCTCCAGGTGACAACAGGTGAGGCCAACATGAGCTGAGTATAAAACAGACGGCAGTTGGCTGCTTCATATCTGAAATGCACTGGGTATCCTTCAAGATCATCTTCAGTGTAGCCGTTGAGCGAGTTTACCCTGCCAGCATTAGGAAGGGGCAGAAGAGGCGGACTCGACAAGCTGGGGAATGAAGCAGACGCATCGCTGAGAACAGCATGTGCTTCTTCGCCAGTGCTTGTAGCTTGGACTTCAGCTATCGCGCTGACAATGTGGTGGTTGAAGTTAAGCAAAGTCCCCTTGACACCACCCATTGCTTGCATAGCGTTATTCAGAGGTCGGCCACCAAGAGCAAGCGTGCGAATACCCTGGTTGCGAGTGAGAAGGCCGGTCAGAATACCACAAGCTGATGCGCAGATACCGTCGGTGACAATGAGGATGTTTTCGGGCTTCCACGGAGCTTCTGCCACATAAGGCTTCATCTTGGGGTCGAAACCGTTGATGTAAGCAGGAATGCTAGGCTCCCAGGGGACAGTCTTGTCGATCTGGAAAGCCGCAGTGACATTTTGTCCCTTAACAGTGTACGGACCGAAGAAGTCCTTACCGGTTTTGAGAGCCTCGCCATCAGCACCGACGGGGTAGTATTCTGATTTGGTGATCAAGACCCTGACGAGATTGTCATAGTCGGCCTCAGCGGTTGCTTCAAGGGCAGCATTGGCGCGATATCGATCCCAACCGGTGAACTCGCCATCAGGGAACAACAGACGGTAGATGGAATGTGCCAGAACAACCGAGCCACCGCCGTTGGCAGACAGATCGATAATGAGCTTGTCGCGACCAGCTGCTTTGGCCTGGCGGATAAGCTCAAGCACAACAGCTTGCCCTTCGAAGATGAATTTGGTCATGCTGAAGCCAGGAGGAGGATTCACAAGATCGAGCCCAATAGGGACGAAGCTCAAAATGGAAAGAACAGCAGTGTCTTCGAACTCTTTCCCTTCGAGGAAGTACGCAGCTACAGAATCGGCTGAATGTTTCGCGATGGGTACGGGGTATCCAGGGATGATTTTGGATGACTGCCGGGTGGAACGGCGCTTATTGACAGGAGGCTCTTCAGAGGTCATGTTGGTGGGCATGACCTCGATGTACTTGTGGAAATCTTCTCCAGACTCGATACCGGATAAGTCAACAGTTGCTGGGACGATTATTTCATTATGTACCAGCTTCTTGGTACCGTTGTGGAATTCGATGGTATATGTATCAGGAATTTCGAACTGAGTGTAGAGCGTACTTGCTGATGAGCCAACAGCACCGCGAGGAATGGACTCAAAGAGACCATTATACTGAGCATCAGGATCCTGGGCATTGGCAGCAAGGCGAGAGGCATCTTCCTCAAGCCACTCGGCGATCGGGGTGCCATCGATGCTTTTGACAGCCGATGGGGAATAGTCGAGAATACCTTGTGTGCCACGGGCTACATCGACACGGGAAAAGATGAAGGGTAGGCGGACGCCATTGGCTGAGACGGATTCAAAGTCGATGCCTCGTCGGACATACATAAAGGCATTGAGAAGAGCCGGGGGATAGTCGAAGTGGCTGTCGTAGGCAGCGACAAACTGTCCTTATCAGTGGAGTTCTGTCTATCAAGTTAATTGTAAGTTACTTACAATACTTCGCAAATCGGTCATGACTTCATATTGAGTCTTGTACTTGTTGTTCTCTAACCTACTTCGAATAGTATCGAAGCCACCCAAAACATCCACTCCGGGAAACAGATACTCTTTTGGGGGCTCAGCAAGAATCTCGAGTGTACTCTGAAACTCGATCAAAGGTTGAAGGTAATCGAGTAACTCCAAGTCTCGCTTCTTGTCCAGAGGGACAGACTTGAGGCAGGCGATGCCAACTGAGGGAGGAATAGCGAGAATAACGGGTTCTCCTTTTTCGGGGTTGGCCTCCTCGTAGGCCTGACTCAAGAACTTGCAAGGCGAATTCTTTGCATCTGAAAGATCGCGCGATGTGATGAAAGAAGGTACATCCTTCGCCTGGTGCATAATCTGCCTGGGCTCGAGGGCAGCAAAGCCAACCCCAGCGAGGGCTAGCAGACTAGGAATGATCATGATAATGATAATGGGTATATAGGAGAGTGGTAGGGCTGGTAGGGCCCTTCTTCTGGGCGCCTACCAGTCCTTTTATGTCGACCATCCACCATGGATCCATTGATACAAACATTTGAAGTTGATGTTGTATTGAGGCTTGTGGCTGGGTGGACTTTAGCGCTGGGGTTGCTTTGTGGTGGTTTGACGGGCTGTGCTGACAGTGTTGAGCATAAGAGACGAAATAATTTGATCACCTTATGCAGCCTTAGGCTACCAGTTAGGCTATTTTATTTCTGTAGCCTAAGCCTTGGAGGATGATTATTCTGACACCCACCTGAGTGTGCGGACCTGTTAGATCGGAACCAGGTTGAAATCGGACAATTCTCGTTTATTTCCTATAAATCAATAATAGACGAATAAGGCGAATCGCTACAGAAGCTCCGGAGATCGAATTATGCTTGGCTGTTGACGCTCTTTCGCGTAGGATCAACATGATCTGTTTCAAGCAGGCGGCTTGACGACCAGTCAGAAATGCCGTTGAGAATGGATCTTTGATCCCCCGCCATTCTGCCTTAGGGGTTTTCTATTTTAAGGGAGCGCCACGAGGCATCGTTGATCCATCTAACTACGGGTAGCTATTCAGCTGTGCTTCAAAGGACATGGGTTTTCAGCCGCGTCTGTGCCTTCTTTTTCGTCCCGAGTCCTGGCTCATGATGGGTGCCAGATAACTCGACATTCAGTCTTTGGATCGAAAGAGTGAATAGATCAAGAATGGCCGAGATATGTCACAATAAGTCAATCATTTTGTCCCTTGCCCGCAGAAGTCAAGTCGCTTGATATCAACGTCTTTACAGGGCGTCAGCTTCGTCTCCGTGTCTGAAAGGGAACCAACTGTCAGCCTCGACAAGTCTCCAAGCCGGGTTGAGGCTTGCGGAGTTTGAACATAGGACTTTCGCTTAATTTTAAGCATGCTTCTTTCTTAGCGCGTAGAAGCTGAAGAGATGTCTGGGGGAATGATCAAGCCATAACAGGGCGCAGGCTTTATTGAGTCAATAGTTGGGTGGTAACGTTACCTGAGAGAGGGAGTTTTCGGGACCGAATAAAGACTTGTCTTTAAATGAAATGCATTGCTTCTAGAAGTCCAATCATCGCCCATGTTCGATCTGGAAAGTCCACGAGTACGTGGTGTAGACTCAAAACCGTCAAAGAAATGCTCTCGACAGTCAATCACGCTACTATAACGGCAGGTCATCACAATCACTCTCAGAATCTCAATTGTTTTAATGGTGTTCCCATTCATTCGTACGTAATAAAGGCTTGAAAAGCCAGACCCAAAGAAAAAAGAAAATCTATCGTGAACATTTCCATCTTGAACGCTTCCGGGCCTCTCTATTGAGGCCATGCCCATGCGTCCTGTAGCGTCGTTGTGGCCATTTCATTTGCCATCATAAGGTTGGTATCAAATATCCATATCCTGATGGTCTAGCCACCCACCGCTCATATCCCATGAAAATACCCACATGATGCTAATGGCACTCATCAACTTTTTGTGGATTGAATATCCTCTATAGTCAATTTCCTTTCATGCATTCGTGCCCAAAAATCAAAACATCGTCATAAACACTTTTTATTGCCTTAGACAGCACCGGCGTTGATCATCTTCTTTCGGAGGTAGTTCTTGTACTCGGAGATAGGGCCGTCCCATGTGCGGATGGTCTGGTTCTCGCAAACAAGAATCTGCTTGGCGATCTTGTCGAGCAATCTATACATCATTAGTCATTTGTCATGGTAATATTTTGTCAAAGGTGCTTACCTGAAGTCGTGGGAGACGACAATAACACCTCCACTGAAAGCGTTGATAGCGTCGGCCAAACTGTCAATGGTAGGGATATCCAGACCGTTGGTAGGCTCGTCAAGAAGCAACATGTTGGGGCTGTCAATAGCAAGGAGAGCAAAGACGATACGACTCTTCTGACCCTCAGACAGGGTACCCATCAGGGCAGTCTGGGATTCACCACTGAGACCGTACTTGCCGAGCTGCTGGCGCCAGTACTGGTAGTCCTGAGACTTCTCGCTGTACTTGTCACGAACAAAGTCAAGAGCTGACTTTGTCAAGTCAAGCTGCTCAGCGCTGTGCTGGGAGTAGAGACCGAGCTTCAAGTGGGTGTGTCGGGTAACGACACCACCAGTGGGAGAAAGCTTGCCAGTCATGAGACGGAGGAGAGTGGACTTGCCCACACCGTTGGGTCCGACAAGGGCAGTTCGGGAGTCCATATCGAAACCGAGGTCAAGGTTGCGGTACAGGTCATCCTCGGGGTTTCCAGAGTAGGAGAAGGTAACGTTGTCAAATGACAGGACGGGAGGGGGAAGCTTGTCGACATCGGCGAAACGGAAAGAGAAGACACGGTCCTGCTCGACAGGCTGGATGAAACCATCGGCCTCCATCTTGTCGAGAATCTTCTGTCGGGACTTGGCCTGTCGCACCAAGTTGGCGTAAGTACCAGCACTGGCAATGAACTTCTTGATGTGGACAATTTCGTCCTGCTGCTTCTGGTAGGCCTTCATCTGGTTGGTCTCGTTCTCGTATCGCGTCTTGCTGTACGAGTCGTAGTTACCACCATAGTAGACGAGCTGCTTGCCTCGCATGTCGATCATGTTGGAACAGACACCGTTGAGGAAATCCATGGAGTGGGAAACGAGAACAAGAGTTCGCTCCCACTTCTTGAGGTACTCCTCAAGCCACACACAGGCCTCCAAATCCAAATGGGCAGTGGGGTCATCGAGAAGCAGAACGGAGGGCTTGACGAAGAGGGCCTTGGCAAGGGCGACTCGCATACGCCAACCACCGGACATATCCTTGGTCTTCTTGTGGATGGTCTTCTTGTTGAAACCGAGACCAGTCAGAATCAGGGAAGCACGGGTAGCAAAGGTTGAGGGGTCAAGCTTGTCCATGTGCTCGTAAAGGTCGAGGAGAACAGGGCTCTCAGGGCCCTCATCCTCAAGAAGCCTCTCAGCCTGGTGGTCGAGACGCTCAAGCTCCAGCTCAGCCTCTCGGACGACCCATTCAAGGGCACCCAAGTCACTGGGAGGAGCACCCTCGTTAAGAAGGTAGATGTCGAGATGCTCGGGGATGGGGTACTCGCGAGCGGCGATGGCCTTGAGGAAAGTGGACTTTCCGCAACCGTTCTCACCGAGGAGACCGTATCGTCGACCGTACGTGAGCTCGAGGGTAGAATCTGTGATAAGGACCCGACCGTGGAAGACCAGAGAGGTACTGGTGATCTTGACGTCCTTGCTGGTCTGGGTGGAAGCGAGAACACCGGTGGTGACACGGTCAGAGATACCGTGCTTATCCATCTGCTCGGCGAGACGCTTCACCTCGTCGAGCTTCTCGCCTGAAGTCGCGGGGGCATCGTCAACGATGGGGTTACCGTTGGCATCGAGCTCGGGCTCTTCGGTCTTCTTGCCCTTCTTGCCCTTGAGCTTGCCCTCGGCAGCCTTCTTAGCGAGACGCTTCTCCTTGGAAGAAGAGGGAGCCATGATGACGACTTTTTGTGTGAAGAAAAAAAAAAAGACCGCGGGGTTGAAAGAACGGAGACTGTCGGCGGGGTGAATGGACGGTCTGTCTAAGAAATCAAGTCCAAACCGAGGGGTATATGTGATGGTGGTTTGGAAAAGGACCGTTCGATGAAGAGGGAAAAAAAAGAGAAGGAGAGAGGAAAAGTTATGTTGACCGACAAAGGATTAAAAAAAACCTAGCCAAACAATGAGTGTGGCGGTTCCAGTTCCCGGTTGAATAATGCACGTACAGTCCGTCAAGGCTTCTGAGAGGCAAGGCGGGGTGAATTTTTATTTGGTGGGGCAGATTTACAGATTTTTTGACTGACGACAGAGTCAGGCACCAACTAAGGCAGCAAGCTGCATGTTATTTCCGACGTGCGGCAATATTTAGATTTTATTAGATTTTGATAGAATATTGGACATTAAGAACTTGATGTCTGTTACCTTTTTTGATCGTATTATTTCTAGAAAGTGTTGTCTTTGTGTAGTAAAACCCACTGCTCTTATCAAAACCCCAATTAATCGGTATCTTTTTTAGAACTTGACGTCATCAATCCGCTCAATCTGATTGGTTGTTGTCTTCAGGATTTTCACGCTGCCCGCCATCTTGTTATCGTGTTGGCAACCCTGAGGGACGGCAAGCCCGTTATGCTGACTTGAAATTCTCTATGTTCTTGGTGGTTTTCATTCGGACTTACCGGTTAATCTTTGGGACAAGCGCGAGTCAACTTTGCCTCTGTTCAAAATCGTCAATATTGAAAGCACGGTCACCTGAAGGTGATACTGCCGCGCGTTGCGCCTGGGACAGCACAGTAGCAATCGCTGACTCGATCCTTGTAGCTGAGGTGTATCAGGCAGTTATTCCCTTTCCAGCTTAACCCATCACTTATTATGATGAATTCTCAGGCTGACACTTGCCTCGTGCGATGTAAAGACATGCCATGGTTGTCATCAATTGCATGAAGACCACCTGATACACTACCGTCTATTGCTGAGGATTACTAGTGAAGACTGGGTTGGGTTGTCTACTTTACCCCACTAAGAGGTTCTCGCGAATTGGACTATACTATCAAGTGAAGTATTGTCCAGAGCATTCATTCAATGAGGATAGAAATTGGCATAATCTATATCCCAATATCAGATCAGCAACATCACGTCCCATTATGAGTGTCTTGTTTTTATTTCATGAGTCATTTCATCATTGATACTAAAGTCGCTATGGTACAGGTATCATTACATCCTCGACAAATTAAGAGGAAGTCTCGTTGTTGAGAGCATCAAAAGAGGTCTCGTTGGCGAGACCAGTCTGCCTGGGACCAGCATCCCGGCCAGCGGCAGTCTGGTTCTGCTGGAACTGGAGCTCAGCAACTCGGCTGGGGTCGTTCTCGCTACCAGGCTCAGCGTTCAAAGCCTTCTTGAGGCCATCCTCAGTCTTTGAGTCGTCGAAGCCCTCGGTGATGTTCTTGCCGTGAGGGCCGGAGGCCTTGATGTACTGGTTATCGACGTAGCTGGGGGCAGTGCCGGCGTTGGACTTGGCAGAGCCAGACTGAGCGGATCTGGTGTTGGAGCTAGGGGCGGAAGAGGTGTTGGTGGTGCGGCCAGCGCTGGTGTTCTCGGATCCGGATGAAGCTTGGTTCTCGCTGCGGATGCCCTCGTTGGAAGCAAAGTCGCCGCCCTCCTTGGCGGACTCAGCAGCAAGAGACTCGGAGGCAACCTTGCCGGGGCCCTCCTCCTTGACGGGAGCGTTCTGGCCGAGATCGACCTGGGTCGTGTAAGTATTTGGGAGGTCATTGGGAAGTTTTGCTGATGAAGCTTACCTTCTGACCTTCACTGGGAGCCTTGGGAGCCATGATGATGTTGTTTGGTGTTGGTGATGAAGAAAGGAATTGAATTGGTGTTTGTGATTGAGAGATGATGTCGCAGAGTATGATTGAGAGGAGATATTGCTTGAGAAACGGTCTTGAGCTCAGTGATATATTGCGATTTGACAGTTGCATGACATCATGGTGGTTGTCCCTCACTGACGCCTTTGAGGTCCAGCATGACGCCGGATTACATCATGTAAGTCCTAGCGACGAGGATTTGGCCAGGAAAACAAGCAAAAGAATAGGAACCAAGGACTTTTACAGTTCGACAAGCGAATGGATTGGAAGGTTTGACGGAGAGCACTACTCCATAGACATCGAGATCTGAGCTGCGGAAGCCGTGCCGTGTAAGACCGGTGATACATGCATATGTTGTAACGCAACATTGACGGGATACTACAGCCAAGAGTGGTATCAAAGCTACGACAGAATAAATAGATGCTTATGATCATAGGAATAACCCAGCCCTGTCGGCATTCATTGCCGTGACAGAAAGATGACGGTGTTTGGCAGAGACATGATGTCTGCCCGCCATAAGAAGCATCTTATCAGACGACCATCATATCAACAACACCAACGCCAAATCTCCATACACCCAATACCAGGAAGGATTCAGGCCTGTCTCCAGAAACCTATTGGAGCCGCCGGAGCTTTTGCGCCTGTTTACTGGCCACTCACCATGTCTGTGCAATGCTGGGACGTGGAGAAAGGTCTTGGCATACGCCTCCAACTCTCTTCACCTTGATATCTGTACTGATAAGTTGGACTAATGCAGGACCATCTTTATGAGTGTACCGACTCAACTAGGGACAAAGATGATTGCGTTGTGGTACAATCTCACCGTGCGCCATAAGACGAGTATGTCAGGCGCAGAAAGTAAGCGTTGCCTTGATAGCGGACCCCCGTGCGCTCGCGTATAAGTTCGCTAGAAGGCATATGATTTGTATCAGGACAGATCCTTTGCACGTGTCTAATCAAAGACAACACGGTTACTCTTGACTGTAACCGGTCTTGCTGTAGCCAGGCACCATGGTAGTTTTGATATCCAGCCCGGCAATATGAGTGTGGACTACAGTGGCCACTTATCTAACAGCCCTACATGAAGCATACTTATTCTCGAAGTACATGGGCTATAAAGCGTCAGCATGGCTGGAATGCGACAAAGGTATGAAGCCTTATATCTCAAGTACAAACAGCTCCAGACGTAGACGTCGTTGTTGCGGTTCAACCGACATATCAGTCATATCGAATCCATACAAGCTTCTCAAGTGAGCATCGATCCAGCATAGAGAGGCGATGCAACTCGCTAACCACACAACGACAATGCCGAAAATGGTTTGGAGTATCAACTCCTACCACAGCAAATATGAAGTATGCGCTTTGTACATTATGGCGAGTTCTTGAGTGGTTGGGCGCCATGATGATATTGCGGATAGGGACTTTAACAAATATGAACGCCGGATCCTGTCCGTAACAAAGCAACACTGTCCAATTATCAAGGTAACGGCGGTAATTTCCGTATACTTTGTTCTCAAACACTGCCGGTCATCAAACTTGCCAGGTGTCAGTGTCATTGAACGATTTCCGAACCTCAGGTGCCTCTGTTTTACATGCATGTAAATGGTATCAATCTTGGAGTATCAAATTGCTCGATGGCCAACAAGCCGCAGTCACGTGAAATCTTGTGCAAGAGACAAGTGTGAAGGGTAATTACTCCGTACTTGATAAATATTCGGCCTGTGATGTTCTGTGTGCTGGGTTTTTACAATCATCAGTTTGTCCACCACCGAATACCGGTGTTGATAGTCGCATGAGAAGTCTGCATCTCGTTTGCAGCCCCTATCCTATCAGTAAGGAGCTCTTCTTGGGAATTTAACGACAAGATCAATTTTATGAGCCTGTAAGCCAAGTTGATCGACTGTTCGTGTTAGATGATGCCAAGTTCTAGGCGTACTGCTAAGACTAGAGTGTACAGTATGAGTAGATTCATCGCTGTCACTTTGAAGTAAACACAAGGATAAGGTTGAGAGACCGTCCTAGAGCATGCTCCTACCTATTGACAAGAAATTAGCATGTCTTGGCAGTACTCGGCTGATGGCGAATGTCCCTCTTGGACATAACGTGCATTGAGCATCACTCCCTTCATTCTTCACGGCTCAAAACAGGTTCGTTCTACAGAAGAATTTGCAAAAAATACAACCACCACAATGATATTCAGAGATAAAGAAGCAAGATCTTCACAAGGCTCTGGTGCCAAGCCATCCGCCAAGGCTCATGTTTCGTACACCTGACGCAAGAATGAAGAGAATTCGGCCCCGAGAGGCAGTATTGCCACCCTGTAGTCAACTGCAGCGGCGCATGATCGACCATTTGTGGAACCAATTCAGAGCCGCTGGACATTTCAAGGCATCTTAGAGGTCAAAAGTCAACGAACCGTAGAATTCCTTGCAGCAAGTGATAAGAATGTTGATGCAATGAACGAACAGGTGAAGTGCTATTAGAGTCATCGGAGGGTATGCGCCTCGAAAGGTTGACAACCACCAGCCTGGAACTAACTCAGTTGTGAGTTTATTTAAACACGAGTGTGGTCCCTAGGTGCATAGAGCAATCCAAGCTTTAGAAACATACCTACGCAACTAGACTCTGGACTACTGAATATTCGCATTGAAAGATTCAAACAGACTCCACTCTTAATTAATTAAACCCAACTCGATACGATGCCAGGTCGAGAACTCGTTTACCACGACGGTCACTATCATCGCGCTTCGGCAGACCGGCCGGAAACACGGCATGACCAGAAACGCCCTCGACAACATGGGTTGTTGCAGAAAACTCACGATGCTTGGGGTCGTGTACTCTATGGCGTTGGTAACGCCTACTACAAGATTCGAGGACAGTGAACGACGACGATGATGACGACGCATATACGAGAGAGGAATGAAATCGATGATCGGAAACATTCAACCAGCCATCGAAAGAAACTGTTACCCACTGTTCGCCCTCTAGTCAACAAGATCAAGCTTTATGATGGCGTCTGCTGAACCACTATATCTGATAATGATAGACAATGTCCCAGCGCTGATCAAGGGGAAAAGAACAAAGAACCACCCAAAAATACAACAGTCAAGCTCACGCCAGCAATGCAAGCCGGTCCAGGGATAATTTTATGGACCTATTGATGGGCGCGAAAGCGTCTATGCTCTGCTTTACTTTGGTTTCAGAGTACGATGGATCAAGGAACCAACCAGCAGACAGGAGTGAGATACAGTGTCAGGGTCAGGAATGACATACTTGAAAGACTTGAGACTTGAGACAAACCGGCCCGAGGTGGAAGAGCGATCTGTGATCCTGGAGAAAGGATATTAACACGCGTAAGCTTGGGTTGCTTTGCATAGACCAGGGATGGAATTACAAACAATTCGATATTGATAATTGAAATGAGGCTGCTTGTTGTTCGATTAAGCCAAGAAGACAAGACATAGGCATTTATTTTATTGCAAGTCCATACTCATGATGCCAAGTGCAGCTCCGGGGACTGGGCAACTGCTGTGGACCTCCGGAAGCGTTTCAAGACAATTTCCCAAGAGTCATTCGAGACGTCGTATACGTCTAGAAGGCGAAATAATAGAGGAAGCGAGACCCCTGGTGTTTTGGCAAAGACGGATATCCGGTGGAGATCATCCCCTTTTCTGCACAGTGCAGCGTTGTGTTTGTAAATGGGGTCCTAACGCACCATGTCCTAGACGAGGCCAAGCTTTTGCTAGAGCGAGATAGAGCTACGGTGTGCATTGATACCAAGCACTATACCACCGTCAACAAGATGAGATCCCGCTTTCACAATCCCTGATTGGACACGGATGGCGCCGGTCAAGACCCAAACAAGCTTCAATTTCTGGACTGCGCCTCATAATCGACAGGGGTTCTTTATCCCGTGGTTGGCTCATTTCCCGCTCTTCGACGAGATCTACCTTCTCTTGGGGGACCGACAGCTTCACCGTAGCAGGCACAGTGTCCCTCATCCACTACAACACAGCCGCTGCCAACCCCTTGCCACGACAATTAGCGGCTTGGGTTACTGGAGCTCAGGGGGCTCCAGAGCCAGTGGTCCCGTAGGGGCGATTAGTCCCTGCCACCCATGCATTCCATTTTACTTTTCAAATGCGCTCGCCCCATCCCTCGACTCGTCTTTAATCCTTCTTTCTTCCCTCCTCCAACAACCCTTCGCTAACCTTTAATTCTTCATCTCCGTTTTTCTTTGTCGGTTCTCGTTACTTTGAGACCGATTTTTAACTTTTCCCGACACTCATTTATAAAACGCTCTTGCTACTACGATCCGATTGACCTCTTTTCGACGCGAATTGAAGGAAAAAGGGGTTCAGCATTCAAACAACTACTTTGCGTTGATATACATCAGCGCTTGATTCTCGACACTCATTACTCTCTGTTTTATTAGCCGTTTGATACACAACACACAATGAAGTACTCCGCCGTCATCGCCGTCGCGGCGGCCGCGGCTGCCAGCGCCAAGTTGGAGCCCATCACCATGAAGGTTCGTGGCGCGTACGAGTTGGAACACCTACAGTATACTAACGGGCTTCCAGGGTTCCAAGCTCTTCTACACCAACGGAACTGAGTTCTTCATGAAGGGTGTTGCCTACCAGCAGGATTCCGCCGCTGGAGGTGAGACCAACGACAAGAAGACCAAGTACATGGACCCTCTTGCCGACGAGAAGGCCTGCAAGCGTGATGTTCCTCTCCTCAAGGAGCTTGGTACCAACATCATCCGAACCTACGCCATCAACCCCAAGGCCGACCACGAGGCTTGCATGAAGCTTCTCGACGATGCCGGTATCTACGTCATCTCTGATCTTTCAGAGCCCTCCGTTTCCATCAACCGAGACGACCCCAAGTGGGACATTGAGCTCTACGAGCGATACATTGGTGTTGTTGACGAACTCGCCAAGTACGACAACGTTGTCGGTTTCTTTGCCGGTAACGAGGTCTCCAACAACGTCTCCAACACTCAGGCTTCTGCCTTCGTCAAGGCTGCCGTCCGTGACACCAAGAAGCACATCAAGTCCAAGTTTGACCGCTGGCTTGGTGTCGGTTACGCCTCCAACGACGATGTCGACATTCGTGAGGATATTGCCGACTACTTCAACTGCGGTGAGGACGATGAGCGCATCGACTACTGGGGTTACAACATCTACTCTTGGTGTGGCAAGAGCAGCATGAAGGACTCTGGTTACTCTGACCAGGCCAAGTTCTTCAAGGATTACTCTGTCCCTGTCTTCTTCGCCGAGTACGGCTGCAACGAGCCCGGTGGTGCCGCCGAGCGTATCTTCGATGAGACCACCGCTCTTTACGAGAAGGAGATGACCGATGTCTTCAGCGGTGGTATCGTCTACATGTACCACCAGGAGGCCAACGACTACGGTCTGGTCAAGATCAACAAGAACGGTGACGCTGTTAAGCAGAAGGACTTCAACCAGCTCAAGAAGAAGGCCACCGCTGCTCAGCCCCAGGGTGTCGACAAGGATGACTACAAGCCCTCTGGAAAGGCCGCTTCTTGCCCCAGCCAGTCCAAGACCTGGAAGGTCAACTCTGCTCTCCCCCCTAGCCCCGACAAGGAGCTCTGCGACTGCATGGTTAAGAGCCGAACCTGTGTTCCCGCTGATGACCTCAAGACCAAGGACTTCAACGACATGTTTGGTTACATCTGCGGCGAGGACAAGAAGATCTGCACTGCTATCAACGCTAACGCTACTGCTGGTATCTACGGTGCTTACAGCATGTGTGACAACGAGGCCAAGCTTGCTTACATCCTTGACGCTTACTACAAGGCCCAGAACAAGGCTGCTGACGCTTGTGACTTCAAGGGCAAGGCCACCACCCAGAAGGCTGAGAACCAGGACTCTTGCAAGTCCAAGCTCGATGCTGCCAGCAAGATCAACGAGGAGGTTGCCACCGCTACCGCTGCTGCTGGTGGTGCTTCTTCCACTGGTGACGCTCAGAACAGCGAGGAGGACGACGAGAGCTTCGGTCTCCAGGCCGCTTCCATCGGCCGCCTCTTCAGCATGGGCGACTACGCCGTCGGCGCCTACATGGCCGTCGCCGGTGTTGTCGGTGCCGGTATGGTCCTTCTGTAAACTCCGTTTATTGGATTGATCAATTTTGGTATGATTAGAGCTTCTTTGCGGTGGCCTTTTGGAATGTGCGTATTCCCACCTTTGTGTGTCTTTTTCTTTTTGTGTATCTAGCATCGCCGGTGTTTACATGGCTTGTAATTAGAACGAGATTAGATGTCTAATGCTATCTTGCGCGATTGCTATGCCAATCTGTGATCTGTTAGTGATTATAATATGATAAAGTAATGTAACCGTTCAATTCTGTTATCATGATAGTGAGATCGACGATGTGCAATCCCAATTTCAGTATAGTCTAAAGCGCTTTATATATCTACAGGATCATGTAGCAGCCAATCGGTGAGAGCCCTACTTCGGTGAGGATAGGGGTTCTGTGCCCGCTTTGCCTCTACCTTCCCTCACGGTGTCGTCAGGGTATCACAAGAATCCTCAGAAGCCTAAGAGATAACATCATTTGGTCACTTTATGTTAGCTTAGACCAGCACTTAGGCTATTGCCATAAACTAGCCTAAGCCTTCCTTCATTGAAGTCTCAGGTTTCATATTGTCTATATCGGTGCCCACAGTGTTGTAGGTATAAAACCAGAAAGCTTCTGCGACACCACACCTGTAGAGCGCAAAAGGAGGGCTTCACAGCAGTGACTTGCAAATCAGTGCGGAACAAGTGAGAGGAAGTGTCCGCCAAAAGCCTC